ATACCCATTAAAATGTTTCAGCAAATGAATGCCCCACTGGAGGCATTCACTTGGCTATGCCAAGAGATGTGGAAGACAGCTACCTGGCCAACTGACTGGAAGAGATCCATATTTGTACCCATTCCAAAAAAAGGGGATCCCGCAGAATATGGAAATTATCAAACAATATCATTACTATCACACGCAAGTAAGATCTTCCTGAAGATAATTCAAAAACGGTTGCAGCAGTATAATGACAGAGAGCTTCCAGAAATGCAAGATGGATTCAGAAGAGTGTGTGGAGCAAGGGATAGATATCATTGCTGATGTCAGATGGATCCTGGCTGAAAGTAAAGAATACTAGAAAAATGTTTACTTGTGTTTTATTGACTATGTAAAAGTACTTGATTGTGTAGATCATAACAAATTATTGAGAAGAATGGGAATTCCAGAACACTTGACTGTGCTCATGAGGAACCCGTACATAGATCAGGAGGCTGTCATTCAAACAGAACAAGGGGATACTTCATAGTTTCAAATCAGAAAGGGGGTGCATCAGGGTTGTATCTTTTCACCATACTTATTCAATTTGTATGCTGAACAAATAATTAGAGAAGCTGGATTATATGGAGAAAAACATGGCATCAGGATTGGAGGAAGACTCATTAACAACCTGCAATATGCAGATGACACAACTTTGCTTGCTGAAAGTGAGGATGACTTGAGGAAGTTACTGATGGAGACTAAAGACTACAGTATGGATTATACCTCAATATAAAGAAAACAAAAATCCTCACAACTGGTCCAATAAAAAGCTACATGAGGGATGGAGAAAAGATTGAAGTTGTTAAGGACTTCATATGACTTGGTTGCATAATCAACACTAAATCAACACTAATGGAAGCAACAGTCAAGACATCAGATGACATACCGCATTGGAAAATCTGCAAAAGACCTCTTTCAAGTTATGAAGAGCAAAGATGTCTCCTTGAAGACTAAAGTGCACCTAACCCAAGCCATGGTATTTTCAATTGCCTCATATGTATGTGAGAGCTGGACAATGAATAAGGAAGACCAAAGAAGAATTGATGCTTTTGAATTGTGGTGTTGGAGAAGAATGCCAACAGTACCATGGACTAACAGATCTGTCCTAGAAGAAGTGCAGCTGCAATGCTCCTTGGAAGCGAGAATGGCCAGACTTCATCTCACCTACTTTGGTCATGCTGTCAGAAGGGACCAGTCCCTGGAGAAGGATATCATGCTTGGTAAAGTGGAGGGTCAGTGAGAAAGAGGAAGACCCTCAATAGGTTGGATTGACACAGTGGCTGCAATGATGGGCTCAGGTATAGCAAGGATCAGGAGGCTGGCACAGGACTGGGTGGTGTTTTGTTCTGCTGTGCATACGGTCACTATGAGTTAGAGATACTCCACAGCACCTAACAACAACAAACAACAAAGAAGAGTTGATGCTTTTGAGTTATGACGTTGGTGAAGAATACTGAAAGTACCATGGACTGCCAGAAGAACTAACAAAGCTGTCCCAGAAGAAGTGTAGCTGGAATGCCTCTTGGAAGCGATAATGGCCAGACTTCGTCTCACCTGCTTTAGTCACATTGTCTGAAGGGACCATTCCCTGGAGAAGGATATCATTATCATACTTGGTAAAGTGGAGGGTCAGCAAAAAAGGGGAGGGCCCTCAATGAGAAAGAACAACAGACTCAGGTATAGCAAGGATTGTGAGGATGGCACAGTGTTTCCTTCTGTTGTACATAGGGTCTCTATGCATTGGAGCTGACTCAACAGCATCTAACAACTAAACAACAACAACAAAAATAGCAATTAGCATTCCGGAAGTCCCTGAGTGGTACCAAAGGTTAAGTGCTCAACTACTATCTTAACATTGGTGGTTCAAACCTATTTAGAGGTACCTCAAAAGACAGGCCTGGTGATCTGCTCCCATAAGGTCATAACTTTGAAAATCCCATGAAGCAATTCTACTCTGCACACGTGGAGTCTCCATGAATCGGAACCCACTTGATGGCAACTAACGAGAACAACACTAGAATCCTGGGCTCTTAGATTCCCAGAGCAGGATAGACCATCTATCCGACCTTTTCACGTTTCAGGAATAGTTCTAGGCATTCTACTTAAAACATATTATCTCACTAAACCATTTATTCACCAAATATGTGAGTGCCTATTACATACCAGGCACATTTTTGAGTGCTAAAGACACAGTAGTAAGCAAAATAGACACAAGTCTCTACCCTCAGGAAATGTTTATTCTAGAGGGGGGAGAATAAGCAAGTTAAATAAACAAAACTCAGTGTGTGGGATTGAGATGGTACCAGGATAAAAGACAAAGCAGGGAAGGGGTTATAAGTACCTTGGCAACGGACTGGAAATTCTAGGAAGAGTTGTCAGATAAGGCTTCACTTTACTAACTTCTCAGGGAAAATCTAAAATATGTGAAAGCTCAAGCCATGCAGACGTCCAAGGGTAGGTTCTTCCAGCTCGAGAGAACAACCACTGCAGAGACCCCAAGAGAGAGCATGCCCGTCCTTTCCAAAGATTGGGGCGGGGGGAGGGCTGTTGGAAGAAAAGTAGAAAGTGGAGAACTCAGAGAGGTGAGAGGTCCTATAGGGTCCTAGTGATTCTGATCCTTCATTTTAGGTGGGATGGAAACCTCTGGAAAGCTCCAGCAGAAGGGTGCCACAGTCAGATTTATCTTCTAACAGAATTACCTCCCCTGCTCTGTTGAAAACAGGACATGCAGCAAGGGGTGACATGAGAATGCCATGGCTCAAGCAATAATCCAGGTAAAAGAGCAAGACCAATAGCAGTTGGGATGGAGAGAGCTCTTGAATCCTGTATATGTTTTGAAGGTAGAACTGACAGGACTTTTTATTGGACCAGATGTAAAATGTGAAAATATGAGTGGAAACAAGGTAAGTCCAAGGTTTTGATGTGAGCAGGTGGGAAGATGAAGCTGCCATTAACTGAGATTAGACAGACTCTAGGGGACCCAATGTGAGATGCAGTTGGCTATCCAAAGGGAGATGGCACACACACAGTTAGGTCAGGTCTAGCGTTCCTAAGAGAGATCCAAGCTAGAAATATACATCTGAGCTTCACTGGATGGTATTTAAAGTCTCGATTGAAAGATGGACTAAGAAAGGAATATAAATAAGAAGGGAGAAAATCTAAGGATGGAGGCCTGGGAACAAGAGATCAGAAAGAGGAGGAACCAACAAGATAGACCGAGATGTGATATGACCAAAAAGCAGGAGTCAGACCAGAGTATATATCCTAGAAGCCAAAGGAAGGTAGAGTGATAGAATGGGTCAAAGGCTGTGTCAGTTAGGAAAGAGGAGAACTGAGACATGGCCAAAGGTTTTAGTACGTGGGGTCACTTGCACCTTGAGCAAGTGGTTTCAGTGGAGTAGTGAGGATGGGTTCAAGACAGAAGGGAGGAGAGGAATTGGGAGCAGCACTCTTTCAACCAGGTTGGAACGGAAAGGGACAAATGAGGTAGTAGCTGGAAAGGTCAGCAGATCTCTGCTCTTGTTGTTGTAGTTGTGCACCATCAAGTCGACTCCCCAGAGGATGGCATAGAACTGCCCCATAGGGTTTCCTAGTCTTCACGGGAACAGCACCAGGACTCTTCTGCCATGGAGCCCCTGGTAGGTTTGAACTGCCCACCTTTGAGTTAGCAACTGAGTACTTAACCACTGCTCCATCAGGGCTGCTTAGGTCTCTGAGGTGGGTAATGTGATGATGATCATCTGGCTGGCAGTTTGACAGGTCAAAATAAGTTACCCATGCCGCAAAACTTTCATACAGTGAGAGTCAGTTATTCTGAACCCAGGGCCTACATTCTCCAGCTACACTCATCAAAGGGATGAAGGCCAGACATCCATTCATCTGGCTGAATACTCAGGAACCAGCACTGGTCTAAACCCAAGTGCAGCACAGATAAAACTGTGGAGAACAAGCTAGTCACCATCATTTCAAATGTACTATATACCACTTCTCATATACAGAGCCTCAAGTTGGAATTCTATTAGGAAGAAAATGAGTGTCTTACAGATGTCAACTTGATATTACAGAAAGGTATTGTCAAAGTCCCAACTTGGGGGAGGCAGAAGCAGCATCCGCTCAGATTAAATGTCTGGTCACAACAATTTCTATGCCTGCACTGACCTCCTTAGTTATAAACACTCATTTACTCAAGCATTTACTCAACAAACGTTGAGAGCTCCTATGTCCCAGGATCTCCTCTAGGAGCTGAAACAGCAGTGAACAAAAGAGACATGGTCCCAACTCTGAGCTGCTTGCAGTCTATGGAAAAGAGGCAGACATTTAAAACATAAACAACAAAGAGAGTTACAAATGATGATAAGGAGGACAACAATGACACAGTGGCATAAAGTAAAATCAGTGAGGGGCAGGGGCTAGTTTAGAATGGATGGTAAAGGAGCATCTGATAGGTAACATTGACCAAACTAAGAAAAAGAGCCAAACTTCCCAAGGTCTAAAGGAAGTGATAGCTAGAGGAAAAACAATGAATGAAAGGCCCTCTGTTAAGTCTTGGAGGGGGAGTCTCTGGGAAGAACAAACGGTTAATGTCCTCGTTGCTAACCAAAAGGTTGGAGGTTCGAGTCCACCCAGATCCTCCTTGGAAGTATGTGCCAACAAAGTAGAAAGGCTCCCTTTAAGAAGCCAGTCCTTTGGAAACCCTGTGAACACAGTTCTTCTCTGACACACATGGGGTTACTGTGAGTCAGAATCAACTGTGCAGGAACTAGAATTAAGTCTTGTAATGAGAGTAAGGAGTGAGGTTCTAGAAGTCCGCAAAGCAGGCTGAGCCACTCCCTGTAGAGTGTGGATTTCATTCTCAGTGTGATAGGAAACATGATGGGAGGTGTTTAATCCAAATCCTGCTGGATGCTAAGAACATACCAATTGTAGGAAGAAGAGGGTGAACACAGGGAACCTAGGTGTGGAGCTGCTGAAGAAGCTCAGAAACAGGCAACGATGTCTGGGATAGAACCTTGGACCACGGTGGTGGAACCTCGGACCAGGGTGGTGGAATCTGGAAAGGAAAGTTGGATCAAGAAACCTGGGCCATGGAAATGGAGAGGAGCTGGTGGATTCACAGCACACCTTGGAAGTAGAGCTGACGGAATTTGATGGCTTGGATTGGAGGGGTGGTGAATGACCGTGAGACAGAAATAAAGGGTGAAAGAAGTGCACACCAGGTAAACTGGATGGATGATGATGCTGTTCACTAAGAGGACACAATGTGAGGAAAGCAAGAGTGGGATGGGGTGGAGAAAGGAATCCTGGCTTCTGTGCCAGCTAAGACTTCTCGGTGGAGATGTTGGCTAAGCAGCTGGAGGGAATGCTGGGAACAGTGAGACATACAACATTAAATTCTTCAAGTCCCACCCTTCCTCATAAAGTTATCCTAATCAAACTCATTCAACGGGTGATCTCACCTTCCTTTGCCATGATACAACACTGCTTGTCCAAACTTTTCATTGGGCGAGCATGTTTGCTCATCTACTGCTGTGTGGCAAGTTTTGCAGACCCCTTGTGTTCTATTCCTCATTTTTAACATGAGATCGAAATTAAAGCCAAGACTTCTATGTCTATTACTAGCCAGCTGGAACCAGTAGGTGTCACTTATGCCCTAAAGGTGGCCACATCCCCATCTACAAAGCAGAGGACTAGGCAAAGATATCCTACTATAGCATCCGGTAAGCTTCTGTCGTAACTTAACTTACTGAAACCAAGGACTATGGAATTTTCTTTTAAGTCCCATGGCATGGAGCACAAAACAGGGTATGCAGTACGTGGTCAACAGATGTGTAGATTGATTGAGTCTAGAACAGTCGCTGATGTCATGGGCTTTGTTGTGTATGTATTTCTTTTCATACCCGACACACCTTGACTTGTCATTGTGGTGCATTTTAAATAAAACGCAAAGACGGTCCTTGCTTGGTGCCGTTGCCCTATCCCGACAGCACCAACCACCACCACTGCCTCGCCACCCCTCTCATTCCTAAGTAACCAGAAAGTGTTACCGTATGGCAATTTAAAAGTTTAAAGCCTCCCGAGAGAACCATTCTAAAAGTTTTGAGTCTTAGATTCCAGCACCCGAAGAAGCGAGGCACCTATGTCCCACACGTCTCACCCCATTCGGGGTCCCCGTCGAACTCCTGGGTCCCCGCACGCTCCTCGCCCAGATGTTCCCAGACGTAGCATCCAGGGCCCGACATGGAGGCGGAGGGGATTGTGTACCTGGTGGGTAATAACGAAGTAGAAGGCTCTTCAGCTTCATTTTGTCGCTCCAGGACCCCTAGCCTGGCCGCTTCGTAGCCATGGAAACGGCCAAACAGCGGCGGAACACGGACGCGCATGCGCGGGTGCCGCGCGTGCCCAGGGCGCGGAGTGCGGAGTGCGAGCAGCCTGGGGCTGGGCGGGGAGTGCATTGTGCAGCCGCCGGCGGGTCGCCCTGGGCTTTGGAGGGCGAGCAGGGGTCACAGGGACGCCCGGAGTTCCGGGGTACCGAGAGTAGAGCGTGCACCTCTCTAGGGCTGCCTCCACACACGTGCCTGGGGCGAGCAAGGCGGGAGGCCGCTTGTGTCTTTACTAAGGCTGACCTTGCGGGGGGCCTGCCGGGCTAGGCCATTGGTTGGCCCCGTGAACTCCAGCCCACTGTGTCTCCGCGAAGAAGGGGCGGCAGAAAAACGCGGTTGCACTTACCATGCGTATTCCCTCCCTCTGCCTTGTCCCCAAAACGAGGGGGGGGGACCCTCAAAGCCATAGCCTACATCGAGTCCCTGAGTGGTCAAAGGGTTAATGTTGCTAAGAAAAAGATTAGAGGTTCAAGTCCACCCGATTTTTGTTGTTGTCAGGTGGGTTGAGTCAGCTCCGGCTCATAACGACCCCATGTGCAACAGAACAAAACACTGCCGGGTCCTGCACCATCCTCACAATCCTTAGGATACGTGAGCCCATCGTTGAAGCCACTGTGTCAGTCCATGGTGACGAAGGGCTTCTCCTCCTTTGCTGAGCCTCCACTTCACCAAGCATGATATCCTTCTCCAGGGAACGCTCCATTCTAACAACATGACCAAAGTAGGTGAGATGAAGTCTGGCCATTCTTGCTCCTAAGGAGCATTCTGGCTGCAATTCTTTCATGATAGATTTTTTCATTCTTCTGGCAGTCCATGGTATTTTCATTATTCTTTGTCAACCCTGTATAATTCAAAGGCATCAATGCTTTTTCAGTATTTCTTTTTCATTATCCAGCTTTCACATGGATATGAGGAGATTGAAAATACCATAGCTTGGGTCAGGTGCAACTTAGTCTTCAAAGTGACATCGTTGCTTCTTAACACTTTAAAGAGGTTTTGCAGATTTGTTCAGTGCAGTACATCTTCTGACTTCTTAATTGATGCTTCCATGGGTATTGATTGTGGATCCAAGTAAAATGAAATCCCTGACAACTTCAACTTCAACCTTTTCTCCATTTATCATCATGCTGCTTATTTGGTCCAGTTGTGAGGATTTCCATTTTATTATGTTAAGGTGTAATCCATCCTACAGACTGTAGTCTTTAATCTTCATCAGTAAGTGCTTCAAGTCACCTTCACTTTCAGCAAGCAAGGTTGTGTCATCTGCATGTGGCAGGTTGTTAATGAATCTTCCTCTAATCTTGAGGCCATATTCTTCACTCAAAAGCTCAAAGCTGGAAGTTTTCTAGTCCACTCAGAGGTGCCCAGAAAGAAAGACCTGACAGCTTACTTCCAAAAAAGCAGACGTTGAAACAACAAAGATAAACACCTTTACATACACAATACTGCATTATCAGTAAACAGTCTACAGGTGGATACACAGGTAGACAATCTGAATGATCAAGTATGTCTAGGCCAAAAGGAATACACCCATGATGATATATATAATTTTGGCAGATAATATTTCTACATATATTTTTGTACGTGCTATAATAATGCTCAGGAGCTCTGGTAGCATAATGCCTAAGGCACTTGACTGCTAACCAGAAGGCTGGCGGTTCAAACCCACCAGTCAGTACTTGGAAGGAAGGTTGGGCAATCCTACTTCCGTAGTGATACTGCCTCGGAAACCCAAGGAGGGGTCGCTATGAGTCAGGCTATTTGCTTGGCGGCAAATAACAACAACAACATAATAATAATGCTCTGGTAGCATAGTGCCTAAGGCACTTGACTGCTAACCAGAAGGCTGGTGGTTGAAACCCACCAGCCACTCCTCGGAAGGAAGGTTGGGCAATCTATTTCCATAGTGATACTGTATCAGCAACCCAAGGGGGGATCGCTATGAGTTGGGTCCAACTCGACGGCACATAACAACAACAACATAATAATGTTCATGTATATAGTAGAGCAAATAATCCGAGAAGCTGGACTATATGAAGAAAAACATGGTATCAGGATTGGAGGAAGAATCATTAACAACCTGAGATATGCAGACGATACAACTTTGCTTGCTGAAAGTGAGGATGACTTAAGGCACCTACTGATGAAGGTTGAAGAATACAGTCTGCAGTATGGATTACATCTCAACATAAAGAAAACAAAAATCCTCACAACTGGACCAATGAGCAGCATCACAATCAATGGAGAGAAGAATGAGGTTGTCAAGGAATTCACATTGCTTGGTTCTACAATCGATGGCAATGGAAGCAGCAGTCAGGACATTAGACGTCGTGTAGCATTGGGAAAGTCAACTGCGAAGGAACTGTTTCAAGTGCTGAGGAGCAAGGATATCTCCTTGAGGACTAAGGTGCGCCTGACACAAGCCATGATATTTCCAATCACCTTGTATGCATGTGAGAGCTGGACAATGAATAGGGAAGACCGAAGAAGAGTTGATGCTTTTGAGTTGTGGTGCTGGCGAAGAATGCTGAAAGTACCATGGACTGCTAAAAGAACTAACAGATCTGTCCTGGAGGAAGTGCAGCCAGAATGCTCCTTGGAAGCAAGAATGGCCAGACTTCGTCTCACCTATTTTGGTCATGTTGTAAGAAGGGACCATTCCCTGGAGAAGGATGTCATGCTTGGTAGGGTGGAGGGTCGACGAAAGAGGGGGAGGCCTTCAACGAGATGGATTGATACAGTGGCTGTGATGATGGGCTCGAGTATAGCAGGGATTGTGGGGCTGGTGCGGGATCGGGCAGTGTTTCGTTCTGCTGTGCATGGGGTCGCTATGAGTCGGAAACGACTCGACGGCACTTAACAACAACAACAACAACATATAGTAGAGCTAACAGGGGGCAAAGTTATGATAACTACTTAGGTACAGCTAACCACCCTGAGGAAGCAAGTTGTTGGGCCCATGGGCTCAGGACTATGGTCACGGGGGACATCAAGCCCAATTGGCAAAACATAGTACACCCAAACATTGTTCTACATCCTCCTTTGGTAAGTAGCAACTGAGGTCTTATAAGCTTGCAAGTGGTCATCTAGATGCAGCAATTGGCCTGTCCTCATCTGGAGCAAAGAAAAATGAAGAAAACCAAAGGTGGATGGAAGCAATTATTCCAAGGGACTAGTGGACCATGGGAACCTCAGCCCACATAACCCTGAGACCAGAACCAGATGGTGCTCGGCTACCACTGTCAACTACTCAGAGAAGGATCAGTATAGGAGATCCTAGGTAGAGTGGGAGAAAAGCATGGAACAAAACTCAAAATCATAAGAAAGACCAGGCTTACTGGTCTGATAGAGACTGGTGAAACCCCCAAGACTATAGCCCATTGTCACCCTTTGAGTCTGGAATTGAACTCAATCCTGTCTTCCAGCCAAAAATAGACAGGCATATAAGGGAAGCATTTACAGCAGGTAGGTACTCTCCATAGAACAATCTACCATGGGTTGTCAGAAGGGCAGTGTTTGCACAGGGAGAGAGCTCAGAGGCAGGAAGGCATAGGAAAGAAGGACACAGGAAAGACAGCCACAGGGAGGAAGTGAGAAGAGAGCTGCTATGTTATGGGGATTGCAGTCAATGTCCCACAACAAAATGTGTATGAACTATTGAATGGAAAATTAAATTTATCTGTAAAATTTCACCCAAATCACAATAATCTCTTTTAAATTTTTTTTAAAAATTGCCATTGAACCCTATGGGGCGTTCTACTCTGTCTCATGGGATCATTGTGAGTCAACACTGACTTGAGGGCTCTCAGCAACAACTGTGTGACAGGTTACACAGGCTGAGCTAAACCTGAGTGCGTGGGATTGAGCCCCCTGCCCTCACAAGCAGGCCTTTTGTGTGTTGTGTACAGTCTCTCCCTCAGTGTCAGAGACAGTCAACTGGTTGCTTAGTCCCATCCTCACATGTGGATGGGACCCATAAAAGACATGGAAGAAACCTGCATTCTTGATGTAACTGCCTGTCATATGCTCAAATGCACTGTTGTTGTTGTTGTTGTTATGTGCC